GTGACCGCTCAAAGTCAGCAAAAACGGTGATTTTCTGAAATTCATTCACTGTTTGACCATTTTTGCAAGACCACTGCTCGCAAACTATCAGCGGTCAAAGCCTTCCCGAGGCAGGACATGAAAGAGTAGGGTCTTAAGAATAGTAAGGCGTCGAGGGAGCGGTCAAAGCCTTCCCGAGGCGCTGCCGCGCCCTGAAAAAGCGCCTTTGAACCACTAAAACCCCCAAGAAAAGCCTTAATCTTGACCGGAAAAAACCGGGAAAAAACCGGGAATTTCATTTTTGGAATTGAGGGGCCACCCTGTAATGCTCACTCACCCTAATTTCACTAGGCCTAATATGTACATGGCCGAACGGGTTTGGAGTGCTGTTTCACTCACCCTAATTTTCACTTGCCCGAATTGTCACATGCCCTAATTTTCTGGTGCTGAGCCTTTTTCCCAAATGGTGTGGGTGCTTTGTTTCACTAGACCTAATTCTCTTTTACCCTAAATGTCATATGGCCGAAAGATGCACGTGCGTAGGAAGTGTTTCACTCGGCCTAATTTTCACTGGCCGAATAGTCACTTGCCCTAAAACTGTAGGAGGAGTGGGGGTACGGCAGCGGCGCTGGAGGGGCAGGCGAGCGCAGGGGGGGAGACCGTCACAACCCTCCACGGACAGGGAGCCCAGCCGCCCCCCAAAAGGGGGTTGCCTACCTGCAAGGCGTTGGGGAGGGAGCCACTTCTAAGAAGCGTGAATGTGCAGTGGGCTGCATCATGTTGGGATTGCTTACTTGAACCACAATAATAAATCGAACCCGCGCTGCTGCCACGGGACCGGCATCTGTCCGTCTCGAGGGGTCCACCACTCAGCTCAGAAGTGTATACAGGATGACTGATAACCAGTGATTACCTACAAAAATTCTTAAAAAAAAAATTAAAATTTTTTGGTCTGCAAGGGATATTTTTTGCTTATTTTGTAAGAAAACCTTCCAAAAGCCGATTAAAACAGTGAAAATATCCAGTGAAACCAGACTACCAGAGAGTGGACCCCTCGGTCCGTCTTTTACTAGTAGTAACAAAATATTCCAATTAAATGAAGAATTTGAGTTTGCGTTCGATGCGACTGCTGCACTCCGGTAAGGTCTCTTCTTGACCCCTGTGGGATGGACCGGTTTTCGGCCGGCTCACGCCAGTGCGGCGGCATGGCAGCGGTATCGGCTGAAACAGAACACCTGAGCGAGACGAGGGTTTTACCACCGCAGCCGAAACGCCCATGGATGGGCCGGCCCATCCCAGTCTCTTCCTTCCCAATGTGGAAAAGAGCACCCGTCCCGTCTCAGGGCATCGCGAAAATACTAGGGCGTTGCGTGTGGCCACACATTTTCCCACAATAAAAGTGGAAAGTTTGCACAAAAATTCGTAATTTCTGCCTTTTCTCTAACTCATGCCGATAAGTTGTGTTAAAAATGGCAAAAGAAAAAAAAACCCCCCCTTACGCTAGCGAACAAGGTCTGCTCTGCAAGCCTGAGCAATCGGAACGACGATCGGACGCGCGCAGCTCCCGCAGGATTTTTTTAAAGTTGAAATTTTCGGGGTTTTTCTTCCACAGCGGATTCAGTCAATCGCCTCTATAGCCCATACTACCTGTCGCCCCGGCTCGGAATAAAACCAAAAACTGCGCTTAAGTTTCTCCAATCGAACGCCGTCATCCGTTTATTCCAAGTGCAATAGTTTTCGAACGGCAGCGTTAGAAGTGCGGCGCGGCGGCACCCGGGTGCGTCCGAGCCAGCCGCCGGTGCCGCTTGCCCCCACTCCACCGCCCTGAGTGCGACGCGCCGCGACGCGTCCGCCCGGAGGCAGCCCGGCAGGCCTCGCTCCGGCAGCGGGCGCGCCTCGGGGCCCACAAAACTAAATGTTTATGTACAAAGTGGGGATGCACAATTTTAAACCTGCGTATCGTGCATAAAATTGTGCGTGAATTTGCATAAATTCATGCATTTTCACGCATGATATTATGCATATTCCAGTATGCACAAAATCGTTTTGGGTAGCACGCACAAAATTCTACCTAAACATTTTGTGTGTAGCCCAGGATACAAGGGCTACTAGCTGGAAAAAAAAAGTAAAAAGCTGAAATTTGGTGGACACGTACATTCGACTGTGGAGAACAAGAAACCGTTGAGTCCCATTCGGGGACTGTTGGGCAAAATCCGCAATTTGCAAAAAACCGTTCGAAATGTTCAGTTTGCTTTCAACGCCCCTGGCGACCAGAGGTTTTTTTTCCGAACTCGGGCGAAAGGTATTAAAATGTTCAGAAAAGAATGTGGAAAAAAATAGCAGTTGCACATTTTCCGAAAAAAAGCGTTCATTTCCCCCTAAATGGTATTGAACGGAGATTTTTTGTCCACGCACTTGTTCAATTTTCAATCAACTCGCCCCCGTTTCTGTTCGACCCATCGCAGCGTAAAATTGGTTTCCCTTTTGAACGATGTGCGCCAAACCTTTCCCTTCATGATGTCGTTTTCCCCCTCCCCATACGACCACCCTGGACCTGTCAAATCGCCCTGGACTGAACCCCTGCAGGACCCTGCCCCCCTGCGCGCCGCGCGGCCCGCTGCTCCCTCACCACTACTCGGCGGGGGCCGCGCCCGAGAGCCGGGGGGCGTCTCTCTCGCACCCCCACTCCCCCGCGCGGGGCGAAGGAGACGGACAAGACGGCCGCTTCGGAGGGACGGGGCGCGCCTGGGCGTTGACGCGCAGAATAAAGAACTAAGTTTTTTTGTACGGGGAGGAGTGGGACGAAAAAAAAAATTTCGGGACCGCAATCAGCGCAACGCGCTGAATAGCCTGAAATTTTGGGCCCCCTCTCTAGGTCCATTCCTGCACCCGGTACAGAGGAAAACGGAACTGGACGCAGTACTTGACGTTAGAAGCCGTACCTCACACTAAATGTTTTTACAAAAATTGTACGTGGTGATGCACAATTTTAAACCTGCGTACCGTCGTGCATAAAATTGTGCGTGAATTTGCATAAATTCATGCATTTCACGCATGATATTTTGCATATTCCACGTATGCACAAAATCGTGTGGGTAGCACGCACAAATTCTACCTAAACATTTTGTGTGGGTCGGTAAAAGGAGGCACCCAGATTAAAGGGGCAGGTGTCAGAACGGCCGGCAGAGAAACAAGGAACTCGTCGATACCTTTCCGAGCGTGTCGGTCAACGATTTCTCTCCCAAACACCAACTACTTCGATTCGTGCATAACTTTTTGGCTTTTGGGTGATTATCACCGTAGGTTGTCACTCGCGTTCCCCAGGGTAGTGCTTCTAAACTAGACCACTAGGATGTTGAAATTTTTTTTGAGCTCGCCCCCTTTGGGGGCCTTTACCACCCCCCAAACTTGAGTTTTGAGCTGCCACTTCTGAATCGGCCGTAATAATATCGAGAAGTGGTCAAAAGTGAACTCCGTCCACTTCCCCCCACCAAGTCGATTTTGAAAAGAGGTGTTTAAAAACCTTCTGCGAGATGAAAGCAAACTTTCTTGTGACCAACATTTTTAAAAAAGTATGTGGGGTCACATCATCGGCCACGGTGACTTTCTGAAAGCAACAGGTGTGAAACAGCACGTCATCAAAATTGTTCCCCCCGTTTTCATGTGAACTCCGTCCACAGTGCTTAATTTGGGACGAAAATCGCAAAAATAGCTTTAGTAATGCGACCCGAGTCAGGAATTGTGCATCTTTCTGTTCTGCATCCACCACCACCAAAAACAGCTGGCTGGGGTTGCGGGAAGGGAATCCAAAATGGAATTTAGTCTTTGATTCCGCTGCGTATGTTTTTTAAAACGAACTCCGTCCACCCCCTTTTCTCGAAAACCAATGTTCCAAAAATGCCCCGATTTCTTCAAAAGTTAGGTTTTAGTGGCCCCCTTTTATAAGCGCTTGGTCGGAAGAATCGTATCTCAGCCTAGCGACCAGTGCGTGGCGAGATACAGTGGTTGTAAACGGTACAAGAAATGAACTCCGTCCACCCCCTTTTTAAACTGCATATTTTTGCATAAAAATCAGGTTGTCCCTAACAAGATTGATCAGAATGAATTGTGTCGTCACTTATATGCACTTAATAGGCACCACAGTTCGTCAGACCTGCATTTTAAAACGTTTATTTTTAAGGGGGGAAAAGGCGATGCCGTAAGGCGCATAGGCACCCATACGCCTGTGGTTGCCTGTTTGCCCGGCGCTTTCTCTGTTCTGTTCAGCGCTGTGCTGTGCACTTAGCTGGGGATCATTTTACTTTCTTCCACTTCTGTTTTGACCCCTCTTTGGCATAATCTAGGACCGTTACCTAGCCTTA